TTAGCGATATTTATGGTGAAGTCAGTGAGGGGTGGCGTGGGCAGGGGGGGAATACTAGTAGCTCAGTTTTGGAAAGGTTAAGTTTGAGGAAGTGGAGTGACATCCAAGACGATATGTCGCTTAGTAGGCTAGCGATGCGGGTGGAAACTGAAGGGGTGAGGTGAGGGGTAGACAGATAGATTTGTGTGTCATCAGCTTAGAGATGGTAATTGAAGCCGTGGGAGTTTATTAAGTGACCAAGGGAGGAGGTGTAGATGAAGAAGAGAAGGGGTCCAAGGACAGAACCTTGAGAGACCCCTACAGAGAGAGGGAGTGAGGAGGAGGTGGCAGCGTTATAGGTAACACTGAAGGAGCGCTGCGATACATAGGAGGAGAACCAGGAGAGAGCGGAGTCGCTGAGGCCAAAAGAGTGTAGTTTTTTGAGGAGGAGGGGATGGTCAACCATGTCAAAAGCCGCGGAGAGGTCAAGTAGTAGGAGTATTGAATAGTGGCCGTTGGTTTTTGCATTTAGTAGATCATTAGAGAGTTTTAGTGGGGCAGTTTCGGTGGAGTGTAGAGGGTGAAAGCCAGACTGTAAAGGGTCGAGAAGGTTGTTGTCAGTGAGGTGGGAGCTCAGACGATTGTAGACTAAGCGTTCTAGGAGTTTAGAGGTAAATGGCAGGTTGGTGGGGTCTAGGGAGGGTTTTTTAAGTATGGGAGTTATGTGCACGCGCTTTAGAGGGGAGGGGAAGGCACCTGTAGAGAGGGAAAGATTGAAGATGTGAGTGAGGGAGAATAGGATGGAAGAGGAGGGTGACTGAAGGAGTTGTGAAGGGACAGGGTCCAGGGGGCAGGTGATGAGGCGGGCTTCTGAGAAGACCTTAAGGACCTCTTCGGTGGTAGCAGGGTCAAAGGAGAAAAGTGTTGAGGGAGGTATGGTATGAAAAATGCTAAGTGGGGTGGGTGTCTGTGTAGTGGCGATGTCCTACGAACTGTGTCAATCTTGTTTTGAAGTGGTGTGCAATCTCGTGGGCAGTGAGTGAGGTGCTGGGTGGCGGTGGGGGGGGAGAAAGTAGAGAGTTAAAGGTAGAGAAGAGCCGACAAGGACTCGAAGACAAGGTATTAATGAGGGTGACAAAGTAAGGTTGTTTGGCAGCGTGAAGGGAGGAAGTATATGTTAAGAAGGCAGATTTATAATGGGTGAACGCTTGGTGGGATTTGGTTTTACGCCATAATCGCTCACTGTGTCGTTTGAGATTTCGGGTGTGGTCAGTCTGCCAAGGTTGTAGAGGTTGGGTCCTGATGCTTCGTGTTGTTTATTATTTTTGCAACAAAAAGATATAGTACAATTCAAGTTACCCATGCAGGGGAAATTGGTAAAAGTCCAGTCAATCATACATGGATAAAGAAATGTGCAGCAATCATTTTAACAGAGTAGAAGCCAAAGGACAACTGCATGGGGTGAAGCCGTTGGTCAATGTATATTTTCTGGGCCCGTGGGCCCGGATGGATGCCCCCATATAAATAACTAAAACAAAAAGTAGACAGAAGGGAACCAGCAGGCAGTCCTAGAAAGAGAGGAAAAAAAGGAAGAAGTAGAAAGATGGAGAAGAGAGGAAAACGTCAGGGGAGGGGTAGAAGGGGGTAAGTCCTGCAGGACAGGGTAAGAATTTCAACCGCTATAGGTGCCCAGGCTTGTCGGATGTAGTGTAGGGAGAGTATATGACCACCAGGGCATCCACATTTTCAAAAATTTGGTATATCTGTCCTATAGGATGCTGGACATATCGTTAACCATCAGGGTGCTCAGCATGTTCAGAACCGCTACAAAGTACACTGATGGTGATTTCCAAGTTTAAGCTATGACCTGAATCATGGCAATGAATAGATAGGTGGCGAGTTTCTGTTGATGTGAGAATAGGCCTTGAATAGGGCAACGCAACTGTGCCAGTCTCTCGTCTTTGCGGATTGGGGTACTGAATAGTGTGTGAAGGGAGGCCAAAAACCCAACACCAAAATCTAGTTAACCATGGGCATGACCACTAGGTATGAAGCACATCCCACTGTTGGCCACAGCCTCTGAAACACCTATCATCATAAGAGGGGTTTGAACTGGCAATGCAAGCCAGAACCCAGTACCATCTCAGGAGGACCCTATAGGCTGCCTTCAGTGTGGTTGTATTGAAGGAGAATTTTGCTATGGACGACCAGGCTTTGTTCCAGTCCTCAGGGTCAATGGAGGACCCCAAGTCTTGCTCCCAACTAGATTTATAAGAGGTAGAAGATTTGATAACAGTATTCAAAGAAAAATAGATTGAGGAAATAGTACCCAAGGCCCCAGGAGAATGCTGGCAGATGTGTTCAAAGGCCGTAGTAGTGTGATATGGAAAGGTAGAGTTACGCTTCAGGGAGGTCACCCAATGTCGAAGCTGTACATAATGACAACATTCCACGCATGGGGCTTTATAAGTCTCCTGAATAGAGGACCACGAGGGAGGTGAGGAAGTTGCGGACCTGTGTGAAACCATGAGCAGACCACCATGTAAATATCATACATGCTTCAACATGTTACAGCAAAACTTCAGGCAGTTACTAAAAAAAATTAGATTGACCATTTCTTTAGCTGATGAAGAATATACAGTCCTTGTTTTTTCTAGGGGAATTATTCAACTGAGCTTATTATCTACTTTACTTCACAGTCCTGTGGCAGCTGATGATAAATTATTCTCTCCCAGGGGCGGACTGAGCATTTGGAAACTCGGGCACTGCCCGAGGGCCCGGGGTCAGTAGGGGGCCCCATGAGATGCCCGTGGTACCTTTTTCATAGGTTTTTTTGAGTTTGGGCAAGGACACAGGGGCCCCATGATGCCCTATTGCCCGGGGCCCCATGAGTTGTCAGTCTGCCCCTGTTCTCTCCAGTACTGGAATGCATTCTTATGTCATCACATACAACGCAGGATCAGCAGAAGCTGTTGGGGAAGGATTAGAATCTAGTTTAGGTTTGTATTGCTGACTGTGCTCATTTGCCATTTTTACCACCATTTCTTGACTTGGTCACACAACAGTAACAAAAGGAAACCTACTTAGTAGACAGCAGTAAAGATGATCCTCTGGCTTCTGTGCTTTGGTATCTATGTGCACCCCCTCAGCAGATGAACACAAATATCAATCTTAATATTATAGTATATATATTTACAGTAAACACTGTGTGCAGTGGAATCAAAAGAAAATGTAATTATAAACTCTTTACAAATAAATCTAAGCCTAAAATATGTTATTGTACTTCACAGAAGGGAGGCCTATGTCATAGTGGGAAGGCCAGTAGTGGCAGCAGAAGTCTGGAGCACAACATTGTTATGGTTCAAGCAGCGGGGAACCAAAGTTAGTGGGAGAAACTTCTCTCCATGGCTGCCAGATTTTGGTATATTTGAGGACACGATTGTGAAAGGTGGTGTCAGTCTTGCCATGAATCATGGCACATATCAGATCATTCATTTTTGATGGGCTCTCATTAAGCCTTAGCACACGGAACAGTGCACCTACACTTTTTTTGAAAGCCGAGAGCTGTGAATGTTCTGTGTGCTGTGTTGTACTCTATTTCAGATACATTATTTGTTACTGCATATGTGAGTTTACGTGCCATTCAGAATGATTGGAAGAGCAACACATATATACCTGTACAGTACTGCTAAACAAGTGTTAGTGCACACTAATGCACACAGATTAATTCTTACTTCAAGCTGGTCTTTGTCAGGTATCAGATCTTGCTTTTTCCGACAATAATCAGTCATTATCATGTCTGCTAAATCCAATATTCTGAAGCGCAAGAGGAGGCCCAGTACCTTAAGGATCACAGTAAATGGTGCATTACCCAGGAGAGTTACCACTGCTGCTGTTACCATTAGATAGATGAATCCAGAAGCTCCATAGAAAAAAGCGCTGTGGTGGTAGTAATATAAAAACCCCACTAGGGAGAGTACCTTTATTGGAATAAGCAGTGGAACATAAAACACTTGAGCCTGTGGCTTGGAGGAAGTGCCTAGTCGGGGATAATGTGCAGTGGTGATGAATGGAGTTGAGCCCCTTGGGACTTGAGAAAGCGAATGCGCACGAAACATGTCATCCTGGTAACTGGCCACATCTCCCTGGCTTGCAGCAGTACGCTGGGCTTCCCCTCCGTCTCCTGGCTATAGCGGTGACCACGATCACGTGGTCCCGGCATCTGACAGGCTCAACTCCATTCATCACCACTGCACATCATCCCTGAGCGGACAGGCCGTCCAACTGACCCAGGAACCCAGGCACTTCTACAGCGCTGTTTTTTCTATGGAGCTTCTGCATTATCATATCTGCACCTAACCTATGTGATTTCTAGAAAAAAACCTTAAATAATTTTAGTGACACTTAAAATGGACCTTCACTCGAAAATGAAAGTTTCCATCAATTTAATCCCCCCTCCGCTTTTAAAAAATAGCACAGACTTTGTTCATTTTATTTACCTTTTTTTTTTTTAATTTTTCTTTTGTTTCAACTCATACCCCTACCAACATTCTTGAAATGGTGAAAATGGCAATTCACTCACCTTCTGCTGCCTCCTGGGATACATACATCACATATCAACATTCCATAGATCCATATATCCATATTCATAGAATGGGGAGGCAAACAGAGGTGGCGCCAAAGCATGCACATGTGCAGACATGTGCAGAGATCTGGTGCTGTTTCTGTTTACATATTGTACTATGAATGGAGGAAAGTAATGCCTCCTGGGATCTGGGATGCTGATGTCCCAGGATACATTAGTATTCTTCATTCATAGAACAATATGTAAACAAAGACACATCTTTAAATCTTTTTTTGCGCATGTGTTAGATCTGGCACCACGTCATTTAGGGGATGGTTGCAGGAACCAGGAAGAAACAGCTGGCTCCCTAAGAGTTAAATAGAGAACACTACAGCTCAGGATGGGACCTTTAGTAGACAATTAGGGGAGGGAAGAGGATAAAATGCGGCAAATGTTTGATCTGCTGGTCTTGTAATTGATGTTATTACAGCATAACAATACCACCAATTTTAAGGAGGAGGGGAAACAATGCATATTTCTTTGAGGGTGAAGTTCTCCTTCACCCTAGGTTCACATCTGTGCGGGTGGTGCTGCTGCGGATCCGCACGAAAATCCGTGCAGCCGCACCACCCGCACAGAGAATTGCGGACCCGTGGGCGGGTGCCATTAATTCTAATGGCATGCTGCCCGCACTAGAAAACGCAACTGTACTGTGAACTGAGGTTCCCATGCGGGCTGCGTTTTCCAAAGAAGTGCAGGGACTTCAAATGAATGGGCTCTTGTGCCTGTGCAAAATGAGGCCCGCACGCCCGCATATATGTGAACCGGGGGTCAGGGGGAGATTTACTAAAATTGGTGCACACAGAACCTGGTGCAGCTGTGCATAGTAACCAATCAGCTTCTAACTTCAGCTTGTTCAATTAAGCTTTAACAATAAAACCTGGAAGCTGATTGGTTACAATGCACAGCTACACCAGATTCTGTGTGCACCAGTTTTAGTCAATCTGCCCCTTAGAAAAGAATTCCAACCAATACACGTGTTGCCATTAAAACTGAACTCGGGCCAGCTTGGTTACATGTAATTAGACTGGGGATGGTGAAATTATTATTATTATATTATTATTATTATTAATATTACACAGGATTTATATAGCGCCAACAGTTTGCTCAGTGCTTTACAATATAACGGGAGACAGTACAGCAACAATACAGTTCAATACAAGAGGGATAGGAGGGCCCTGCTCCTTGGAGCTTACAATCTAGGATTCACATTATTGGTCTCTGCTACACATAATCAAAGCTCTCTGGTTCTGAATGCTGCTGTAATAACTTGCCTCCTGTACACTGAACACAGAGGTGCTTGCTCCTGTACCTGTGCCATTCACCAAACATCTTGTATTTTTGTTTCTTCTTGAATACAAGGTGTTCTCTGATTGTACAAGGAAGTGATTGTGACCGTCTCTTACACCACCTGCCAATGCTACAAAAAGGAATGAAATGAAAAAAAGAACTTTTTGGACCATGTTACACTTGTATTTATTTCTGCTTCAAATTCCTGTTGTGGAATTTTAATTTTATATACAACACTTCAAGTCCGGACACTTTTACCCCCTTCCTGTCCAGGCCAATTTTCAGCTTTCAGTGCTGTCACACTTTGAATGACAATTGCGCAGTCCTGCAAAAGTGTACCCATATGAATTTTTTAGCATTTTTTTGAGACAGATAAAACTTTATTTCGGTGGTATTTATTCACCACTGGGATTTTTTTTTGCTATAAAAGGAAAAAGTCCAAAAACGTTGAAAAAAAGTTTTTCTTATACAATTTTGCAAGCAAATAATCATTCTTCATAAATCTTGGCCAAAATCTATTCAACTATCTTTTTAGTAAAAAAAAAAAAAAAATAACCCATATTAGTTTATAACCAAAAATTATAATTTTTCAAAACTTTTTTACATTTTTATTTTATTTTTTTTAGATTATTTATGTTTTTGGTTTTTTTTTAACATACTGTCAGTGACACTGTACTACTTGTGGGAGGTGATGAAGATTTTTATTTTTTATTTTTACACTGATTGCTTTTACACCCATAAAGGCTGTAAAAACAATCATTTCTCCTTCTCTCTGGCTGCATTCTTGCAGCCATTGAGAAATACTGTGAGAGCTGTGATTGGTCACGTCTTGTCACATGGTACAAGGCTGTTGTGAATAGCCTTGTACCATGTGATCTCTGTGATGATTCACAGATTTCACTAGTAGTAAGCAATTATGTCAGAAGTGACATCTTGCTTACTACTATTCATGTGATCACATAATTAGGACCTCACACAGAGGTCCCGTACAGCGATCGGTGTTCCCAGGGAGCGCACACAAGCTGAAAATGAGGGCGCCGTTTATGAACGGCAACCCGCTCCTGCACTGCTCCTGTCCGGCCATTTATATACATGGGACAAATGGGAAGTGCTTAAGGGCAATGTTACAAGAAGCGCTCAAACATGCAAATGTAGACAGGAACAAATAAAAAGGACAGGAATCAGCAATTATGGCACATAAAAGGCGAGGAGCATACCACCAATCTCCATCTACAACTAAATTTTACCTTTAGGTACACTGAATGAGCCAGTGCTATGTATTTAGCACTGCAGATAACTGAAATTAGATAGCACAATTATATTTTACAGCAATTTGTTGAACAGTGAACTCCAATAGTGAAAATTATGGAAGTGACAAAAGCAGTTGTTGCATTTCATGAATAGCTGAGATACTGGAACCCATTGAATTTTAGACTATTCTTGTATAGAAATAAATGCTACCAATTAGGAATGATTGTTCAAATGATAGTATTATTTACCAATGCATAGGAAATAATGAGAAAAATTAACGAAACTCATGATTGGTATCATTTAGGTCTCACACTAATCTGCGATGGTCACACATCTCCTTCTATTGTAATCTACAGTCAGGTCCATAAATATTGGGACATCGACACAATTCTAACATTTTTGGCTCTATACACCACCACAATGGATTTGAAATGAAACAAACAAGATGTGCTTTAACTGCAGACTGTCAGCTTTAATTTGAGGGTATTTACATCCAAATCAGGTGAACGGTGTAGGAATTACAACAGTTTGCATATGTGCCTCCCACTTGTTAAGGGACCAAAAGTAATGGGACAATTGGCTTCTCAGCTGTTCCATGGCCAGGTGTGTGTTATTCCCTCATTATCCCAATTACAATGAGCAGATAAAAGGTCCAGAGTTCATTTCAAGTGTGCTATTAGCATTTGGAATCTGTTGCTGTCAACTCTCAAGATGAGATCCAAAGAGCTGTCACTATCAGTGAAGCAAGCCATCATTAGGCTGAAAAAACAAAACAAACCCATCAGAGAGACAGCAAAAACATTAGGAGTGGCCACCATGGCAAAACAACTGTTTGGAACATTCTTAAAAAGAAGCAACGCACCAGTGAGCTCAGCAATACCAAAAGACCCGGAAGACCACGGAAAACAACTGTGGTGGATGACTGAAGAATTCTTTCCCTGGTGAAGAAAACACCCTTCACAACAGTTGGCCAGATCAAGAACACTGTCCAGGAGGTAGGTGTATGTGTGTCAAAGTCAACAATCAAGAGAAGACTTCACCAGAGTGAATACAGAGGGTTCACCACAAGATGTAAACCATTGGTGAGCCTCAAAAACAGGAAGGCCAGATTAGAGTTTGCCAAACGACATCTAAAAAAGCCTTCACAGTTCTGGAACAACATCCTATGGACAGATGAGACCAAGATCAACTTGTACCAGAGTGATGGGAAGAGAAGAGTATGGAGAAGGAAAGGAACTGCTCATGATCCTAAGCATACCACCTCATCAGTGAAGCATGGTGGTGGTAGTGTCATGGCGTGGGCATGTATGGCTGCCAATGGAACTGGTTCTCTTGTATTTATTGATGATGTGACTGCTGACAAAAGCAGCAGGATGAATTCTGAAGTGTTTCGGGCAATATTATCTGCTCATATTCAGCCAAATGCTTCAGAACTCATTGGACGCCGCTTCACAGTGCAGATGGACAATGACCCAAAGCATACTGCAAAAGCAACCAAAGAGTTTTTTTAAGGGAAAGAAGTGGAATGTTATGCAATGCCCAAGTCAATCACCTGACCTTAATCCGATTGAGCATGCATTTCACTTGCTGAAGACAAAACTGAAGGGAAAATGCCCCAAGAACAAACAGGAACTGAAGACAGTTGCAGTAGAGGCCTGGCAGAGCATCACCAGGGATGAAACCCAGCATCTGGTGATGTCTATGCGTTCCAGACTTCAGGCTGTAATTGACTGCAAAGGATTTGCAACCAAGTATTAAAAAGTGAAAGTTTGATTTATGATTATTATTCTGTCCCATTACTTTTGGTCCCTTAAAATGTGGGAGGCACATATGCAAACTGTTGTAATTCCTACACCGTTCACCTGATTTGGATGTAAATACCCTCAAATTAAAGCTGACAGTCTGCAGTTAAAGCATGTCTTGTTCGTTTCATTTCAAATCCATTGTGGTGGTGTATAGAGCAAAAATGTTAGAATTGTGTCGATGTCCCAATATTTATGGACCTGACTGTACATCCCTATGACATTTGTTTTTCAACATTTTCCCTGTATTATAGGTATAATTCATGCTTCTTTGGATCATTTTTTCAAGGTATATAACAAGAAACTGCAATAATGCAAGACAGAGACAGCCCAAAGTATAACCAAAGTAAGCAGCTGATTTGGGCCCCTATAGCCCCTACAGCCACCAAGGATCCCAAGTGAGCAGGAAAGATATGTGTATGTTATTTGCCATTTTTACCCGTAGTACAGCCCAGAAACAATAGTGCACATTTTTGTTTTTGTCTTTTTTTTTACCTAAAACACACTGACACTGACATTGACACTAACATCAATTTTTTTTAATACGGACCTTTGACCCTGACCTTTTGACCTTGATATGACCTTGATATTTGACCCTGACCCAAACACCAACCCTGGCACTGAACTAGATCAAACCTCAAACCTTGATCTAGGTATTTTTTATTTATTTTTTTGTTTTTATTTTTTTTAATATTTTTATTTATTTAATTTAATTTAATTTATTTTATACAAACAATTTTTTTCCCCTCTATGCCAGGAGTTAGAGAGATACAATGTATCTCTCTCCTCCATTCATAGAAAGAGAAAAACCAAGGGGGCTTGGCTGTACAGTGACTGATCACTCTGATAGCCAATCAGAGGCTATCACAGTGATCATGTGACCCGGAATCGGGAGTCTTGGCTCCCAATCGTTAGAACGGGACCTGGGGCTCTCAGTGACACCACGGTCTTTGTGCTAGGAGTGTGCTGTGCGGCGCGCTCTCAGCACAAAGACAGGTATGCAAATATGTGGCCCCATGGAAAAAAAGCCCAGTTCTGTGAGGCCTCATATTTGTGTTACGTCGGTGTCAAGGGCTTAACATACACACCTGCATGAACGGGGTGTGATTCTGATGTGGCGTGGAATTCGCACTGAAAACACTGCGAATTCCGCACTGCATCAGTGTGAACCAGGGCTAAATGCTTTGGATTGAGACAAGCACACACTATAGAGGGATATGCTTTGTTCATATTTCATGTCTGACATCTACAACAACTTTAAGGACTGGCAAACTGTAATATATTACATTTTTGGGTTTGGGGATTAGATACGCTTTCAAGTATAAGGGAAAGTAGCGAAAGGTAGCTGTCTGCTATGTGATGGGAATGATGGGTTTGACACAAGTGATGGTCAACAAGTGGTGGCAGTTGAAAAGTGTATTCTGCAAGTGGAGGCTGATGGTGAATAAACTGTTAGTCATCAGAAGGTCTGAGGAAAATGAGAAGGTAGTTAAAGATACAAATATGCAAAGAGCAAAAAAGCAGAACATATAAGAGTTTGTGGGGAGGGAAAAGCTGAAATGGGAAAATATGTATACAGAAAGAAAAGTAAGAAAAATAGTCTACAGCTGTGAAATACTGCACTGAGGTGCTTTAAAATTAAAAGATCAAGAGGAAAGCTAACAAAAACACTGTTGAGAGGGTAATAAATGAGAAGAACAGTTGTTTAGTGTAATAAACGTGTAAGATAAATACCCATTCTCTATAGAGCAGAATCATTCCAATTTAAAATTAAGCAACACAGATTTTTGTTTGTTAAGACACTTCTGTTCCAATGGCAGCTGTCACCTCTCAGTTATTAGTCTATATACACCTAAATACTTGATATGTTTCATATAATTGAAAAAAGTGGCAGCTGAAATCAGGCCTAATGTCACTGAAAAAGCAAGCAAACATAAGCATTAAAATGTAGCGGTTTGTCAGGTAAGACACCCTCTCCAAAATGATCATCATAAGCAAGCTCCTGCAGTCTATCAACCTGCAACTTAATGTGGGTGTATAGCAGTTTTATATATCCTTTTTTTTTCCTAGATATGAATGTAGCACCCTGCTCTAGGTTAGATACATTTAATTTTTGGCTCTGAAGTACCCAGGGGTGCAGTATTTTATTTTTCAGGTCTGGTCAGTTCCATCCCTAAAAATAAATGCACACATTTTTGCAGGAAATAATTTTTGTTCACAGGAGCCTGCAGAGCATTGCACCCGCGATCATCAAATCAGGCTCCTACAGACTTGTCTTCCGTCTTTCTTGTCTGTAACTCTGTACAGGCTTTCTGTTTGCAAGCTGGAGGAAGTCTCACCCCTGGTTCACATATATGCGGCTGTGCGGGCCGTGTTTTGCACGGGCACGAGAGCCCATTCATTTGAATGGACCCCCATGCCCGTGACACGCAGGGAAGAAGTCCCTGCACTTCTTTGGAAAACGCAGCCCAGCATGATTGTGTTTTCCAGTGTGGGCAGCATGCCATTAGAAATAAATGGCACCCCCCCGCGGGACCGCATTTCTCTGTGCGGGTGGTGCGGGTGGTCCGGCTGCACAGCAGAGAAATACACAGCAGCATGTTTCCCTAGTAAAACACACACAGCACACACAGTAAAACAGCACACAGTTAACCCTTTGAACACCCCAGATGTTAACCCCTTCTGCCCAGTCTCATTAGTACAGTGTCAGTGCTTTTAATTAGCACTGATCACTGTATTAGTGTCATTGGGATGTCAGTTAGTCAGTTCCCACCCAGTGTCAGAATGCCCGCCACAGTCCTGCTATAAGTCGCTGATCGCTGCCATTACTAGTATAAAAAAAAATAAAAGTTCAAGTATATACAGTGTTGATCGAAAGTTTGGGCACCCCAGCTAAAAATTTGTATTAATGTGCATAAAGAAGCCAAGGAAAGATGGAAAAATCTCCAAAAGGCATCACATTACAGATTAGACATTCTTATAATATGTCAACAAAAGTTAGATTTTATTTCCATCATTTACACTTTCAAAATAACAGAAAACAAAAAAATGGCATCTGCAAAAGTTTGGGCACCCTGCAGAATTTATAGCATGCACTGCCCCCTTTGCCAAGCTGAGACCTGCCAGTGTCATAGATTGTTCTCAATCATCATCTGGGCAGACCAGGTGATGTCAATCTCAAAGGTTTTAAATTCCCAGACTCATCTGACCTTGTCCCAACAATCAGCACCATGGGTTCTTCTAAGCAGTTGTCTAGAAAACTGAAACTGAAAATAGTTGACGCTCACAAAGCTGGAGAAGGCTATAAGAAGATAGCAAAGCGTTTTCAGATGTCAATATCCTCTGTTCGGAATGTAATTAAGAAATGGCAGTCATCAGGAACAGTGGAAGTTAAAGCAAGATCTGGAAGACCAAGAAAAATATCAGACAGAACAGCTCGCAGGATTGTGAGAAAAACAATTCAAAACCCACGTTTGACTGCACGATCCCTCCAGAAAGATCTGGCACATTAATACAAATTTTTAGCTGGGGTGCCCAAACTTTCGATACCTACTGTATACTGCCATTTGTAGAAACTATAACTTTCACGTAAACCAATTAATTTACATGTATTGGAATTTTTTTTTTAGCAAAGACATGTAGCAGAATACATGTTGGCTTAAATTTATGAAGAAATTTGATTTTTTTAAATTTTTTTTACTGGATTTGTTTTATAGCAAAAAGTAAAAAATATTGTGTTTTTTCAAAATTGCTGGTCTTTTTTTTGTTTATAGCTTAAAACATAAAAACCGCACAGGTGATCAAATACCACCGAAAGAAAGCTCTATTTGTGGGAAAAAAGGAAATAAATTTCATTTGGGTGCAGCGTTGCATGACTGCACAATTGTCAGTTAAAGTAACACAGCTCTGTATCGCACAAATGGCCTGGTCAGGGAGAGGGGTAAATCGTCTGGAGGGCAAGCAGTTAAAGTGTGACAGTGGCTACAGGGAGAGGAACTCCCGCCCACTGTCTCAGGGAACGAGAGGGTTTAGGAGGAGGGGGTCTGTGTGAACATGATAAATCTTATATCCTAAATACGGGTGTAACATGTAACATGTTAAAAAAGGAAACCTGTCCTTTAAGGTAAACAATATAACACATTCATTAAAACTTGCTGCCTTAAAAGTTTACAGATGCTTCAATATGTTTGCACTTGGAATACACCTTTATACAGTATGTGTCTCAGTGTGTTGGTAGAGTAGTCTGTTACATTTATACAATAGCCAGGAACCTAATTTACACTTAGCTGTGCCAGGAGTGCGCATGGAGCACACTAATGACACAGGTCTCTTTACCTTTAGGTACACATATATATGGCCCTCTTGGCGTTAAAGCCCACCCACCAAGAGCCCGCATATATACGTGCGGCTGGCGCCAAGGAGTTGAAATGGAATTGTACCCATAGCAACTTGATAAAAATAATGTTCTTTGGCAAGGAACTTATAGTGCATTCCTAAAGTATTCAAACCACCTTCACTTTTTCAATATTGTTATGTTGAAGTCTGATACTAAAGTTATTTAAATTCATCTTTTTCTTATTAGTCTGCACTCACTACCCCATAATGACAAATTTTAGAAATGTCTGTGAATGTATTAAAAAGAAAAAAAAAAAAAATATCACATGTTCTTAAAGTGTTACTAAACCCATGACTCTGCATTCACTATATCTGGTCTCCCACAGTACACAATACACAGTACAAAGTAACTGGAAATGCTATTATTTTAGTAAATATAAACTGATACCCCTTTCTCATCAGCAGTATATAGCAGTCATGTGACTTCTATCAGTGTCCAGCCAAGCACTGGTTATAGCTTGTAGGAGGAGCTTTCATTCCCATCTGACTGTACTATGAGGCTGCATGACCCCTGACCCTCTGTCTGGATAGTGCTTATTGGCCCTGTGCTGATCACTTGTACCCTCCATAAAACAAAAAAACAAGAAAAAAAAACCTCTTTAGCAATACCCACCAAAGAGAGCATGTGCAGAGTGCCTCCTAGGGCTCTGTACTGTCAGCAGATGGACTGAGGACTTTGAAGAAGGGGAGGATCAGGGAAGTCCGGATCAAATAGCCTTCTTATACAATGTGAAGGATTAATCCCTTAGGTTCCACAATGAGAATAAAAAGCATGCTTGTTGATTTTTCAGTTTTTTCTGTTGTAGATTTAGTAACACTTTAAGTATTCAGACCTCAGAGTCTTTTTGGGCATGACACGACAAGCTTTGTACACCTAGATTGGGGGATGTTTGCCATGCTTCTTTGCAAATCCTCTCAAGGTTGAATGGGGACCATCAGTGGACAACTATTTTCAGGTCTCTCCAAATATGTTCAATAGGGTTCAAGTTAGGGTTCTGCCTGGGCTACTCTAGGGCATTCATAGAGTTGTCCCTAAGTCATTCCTGTGTTTTCTTGGCTTTGTGCTTAGGACCCTTGTCATGTTAGAAGGTGAACCTTCAGCCCAGTCTGAGGTCCTGAGAGCTGTGGAACAGGTTTTCATTGGGGTGTGACGGAACGCCTGCCACTTCAATTGGGTGATTCTGTCAGAGAACTGCTTACTCGCTGCTAGGACACATGACCAAGGTATTACAGATGAGCATTGCACCCAAAAACTAGACGGCATTAGCTCAGGTGCAACTGGATCTACTTTATTAAAAAAATACTGTTTTTTATACACTTCAGAAGCAGGGACAGTCCCCACATGAACAATAAAACAAATATTACACATTAACATAAACACTGGTTTGGTAACAAGGCAAAGTGGACATAATACTAATCACATCTCCAGGAGGACTAGCAGCAGACAGAAACAATAGGTGACTCAATTAACAATGAAAATGCACACCTAGGAAGCACACAATGGGGGAAAGACAGTAACCACATAACACATAATAAACAGATTAGAGCAACAGTCCTCAGCATCAGGTTGTCCTGAGCTGATTATCAGGGAGCCCACCCAGACAGTCTGGCCTACATAGGAATACATGGAACAGAGACCAATGTGACCAGCTCTTTCAATTAATAGTTCCAAATAAAACAAACCAGGGATAGTCTTTAGGGCAGATACAAGAAAACAGACCTTTAAAATGTCACAGGAAGGGAAATATAACAATAACAAATAACAGGTAGAATGTAGGCAGAAAAAGGTCCCTGCAGCCAGTGTCTGTGACAGAGGGTATCTATTCAGCTTTCCTTCAACCCTGGTCAGTCTCCCAGACCCTGCTGCTGAAAAACACACCCACAGCATGATGCTGCCACCACCATGCTTCACTGTTGGGATGGTATTGGGCAGGTGATGAGCGGTGCCTGGTTTCTTCCAGAAAAGAACAATTAGAATTGAGGCCCAACAGTTCAATCTTGGTTTCATCAGACCAGAGAATCTTGTTCTTCACAGTTTGAGAGTCCTTCAGGTGCTTTTTTGCAAACTCCAAGCGGGTTTTCATGTATTGTGCACAGAGGAGAGGCTTCTGTCCAGCCGTTCTGCTTGGAACGGTGGAGGGTTGCAGTGATGGTTGTCCTTCTGAAACTTTGTCCCATCTCCACACACACCTCTGAAGCTCAGTCAGTGTAACCATCAGGTTCTTGGTCACCTCTCTTACTAAGGCCCTTCTCCTCCAATTGCTCAGTTTGGCTATGCGGCCAGCTCTTAGAAGAGTCCTGGTCGTGCTAAACTTCTTCTATTTGAGAATTATGGAGATCACTGTGCTCTTGGGAACCTTCAATGCTGTAGATTTTTTTTGTAGCTATCCCCAAATCTGTGCCTTGCAATAATCTCGTCTCTGAGCTCTGCAGGCAGTTCCTTTGACCTCATGGCTTTTGCTGTGATACAGTATGCATTTCAGCTTTGATGCCCTTTATAGATAGGTGTGTGCCTTTCCAAATCATGTTCATTCAATTTATTTTACCACAGGTGGACTCCAATCAAGGTGTAGAAACATCTCAGCAACGATCAAGAGAATTGGGTAGTACCTGAGCTAGATTTCAAGTGTTGTTGCAAAAGGTCTGAATACTTATGCCAATGTGATAATTCAGTTTTTCCTTTTTCATACATTTGCAAACCCCTTATGGAGTACTGAGTGTAGGTTAAGGAGAAAAAAAATAATTTAAACAACTAGTATCTGGCTGCAACATAACAAAACTGAAAAAGTGAAGGGGGTCTGAATACTTTATGAATGCACTGTACATTCCACATTAATAATTATGCTACCAAAATTAGTGTGCACTATACATTGGCTCCAGCATTGTTCCTGTTTATTCATCGGAGGCTGCCATTTTCTGAGTCCTGAGCAGCATTAAATCTATAGGCTGTCAGCAGATTGGCCTCTACAAATTCGGCACAGTGCCTAAAAATAGAGTAATTGTGCATGTGCACAGCAGAGAGAGACAGGGTTTTACTAGATTTTAAACAGTATAGGCACTTATTTTTAATGTTTTACATATAGTAGCAATACCTGGTTGAAATTCCACTTTAAAAGATTTTAATAAGACCTGTGTGTACCTCTTACACATGCTGCAGGTACATTGGGGTACATTAACTAAAGGCAATTAGGCAGCTCACTTTACAAGGGAAGTTGCACAGCACAAGGGAATTTTCCCCAGAGTACATTGACTGAGGTGAAATTTTACTCTGCAAAGAATACTCAAAAATGTGTAAATAAAAAAACATAATTTTTGCTTGAACATGATTGGATGATGGAAGTCAGCAGAGATTCACCTCATTCACCACGCTTTAGGGATAATACCCCTGAAATTTGCAACTTCCTTTGGAAAGTCAACAGCCTATTTGTTTTAGTAAATCAAACCAATTGTGTATACAATGTCCCAGACCTTAAGTAACTGTTCAGCAATTAATTTTGGGGGTTTGCTACCGTTATTACTAATCCCCTAAAGTGCATGGGTAATATATAATTTGTACAATATCTTTCTCTTTTTTCCATGTCAAAAGATAGTAAAATTGTCTTGCCACATAATACTGTAAAGTACAGTATTCAAAAAGACAGTCCTTTGCCCTTCCAAAGGTGTTGCAGACCACACAAAAGATTTTCTAGAACATTATTTTTTTTTTGATTAGGCAGATTTGCACTAGGTGTGAGAGGAAAGCTTGGACCATGTTATGGCTCTATTGATTATTAGAGAAAAGTGAATCAATATTGGAAAAACATGTAGGCAAATTTAGAAGAGAGAGAGATGAAGTGCTTCTCATTTGAAATCTTTAATTTATTTATATTTTACATATACAGGAGTACCTCAGTTTACTAATGCCTCTGTTAACGTAATTTTCGGTTTACGAATGAAAATCCATAGAAAACAATTCCTCATTTACTAATTTTTTCGCAATATGAACATATTAATTGGTTTTCAATGCATTTACAATTTTTTTTAATCATGTCCCTGTACAGTATTTATGCCTTTAAAGTGCACTTTATAAAGAGTTTTGAACAGATAAGACTTTTTTTTTACTTTTTTCTGACCTCTGGAATGGATTAATTGGTTTTCAATGCATTTACGTATTAATTTTTAATCATGTCCCTGTACAGTATTTATGCCATTAAAGTGCACATTATAAAGAGTTTTGAACAGATAAGACTTTTTTTTTAACTTTTTTGTGACCTCAGGAACAGATTAATTGGTTTTCAATGCATTCCTATGGGAAAACACAATTTTTCACAATCCGAAAAGTCTCGCAGAACATTAAATTTGTAAACCGATTTACGCCAGTACAGTATTTATAGGTGAGTAATAATATTACTATTATACATATTATTGACACATGTCCAATGTACGTATGTTCATCTAATTATAGAATGTATATACTGTATATTCTTATATGTACCTCCCAAGTACTAAATAAATGATTTTCACCTAAGTAGCACGTAGTTTAACATCTCCTTCCTCTTTCACTTGATTCTTGATGGTTATGAGTAGAGACATTTGTATTAGCATTATGTGATAGATTTCTGTCTTAAAGAATTACATAGTGAGTTGAGGTTTAAAGGTGTATTACAATTTTTATGCAATCGATGCCATAGTTTTAGTCTTGTAAGAAAATATGAGCAGGAAAGATTCTTCTGATACCTGATGGATAGGTGTGTCATGTGCAATTACAAGATCTCATACCAGGGTTATTCTCTTGAGTGTGAATGAAAGTAGCACAATATATAGTACCTATTAAATTCAAGGAGGCTCTCAGTTTAATATTTTTTTTGCTGAGCTAGTGTGAGCCACTGCAGGTGTGAGACCTTATATGTAAGGCCAGCTATACATGGGTCGATTTCCGAACGATTTTTCATTGGAAAGTCGGATATAAGAATATTCGATCAATTTTCGCTGTCTGTGGGGCAATGGTACCAGCCGATTTTTGTGGTTCCTCCCCATTTCATTTATCGG